TATGAGATTCATGTACAATGAGTATCTGGAACAGTAGTGTGAATTTTTCATATATGTCTCTTCTTGTCATTGGTGTGACTATTTGTGAATGAAGATGATATATAGATTTTTATAGAACCTGTAAATTTAAATTCTCATGTCCATGAATAGTATTTTGAAAGCATAAGGAGTAGGGGAGGGAATCTTGAGTTCACAAGCATATTTGCTTCATGCTATTTTTTGCCAAAATACATGTGGAATTTTTTATCCTGATATATATTCGAAGAGTTTTCTATATAAACTCAGTTGTGAAAGTCTATTCTGTAAACTGTTACACCTTTTTCTATGTGTTTACAAGTCACAGTCCACAAAATAATGGCTAAAAGTAGTTAAGAATTTTAAATAGAAACACCACTGCAATGAAAGAAACATTGTTGCCCTCAATAGTTGATCACCTATGCTCACAGTAACATTTTCTTAATTAATGCCTTAAACTTTTACTTCTTTGTGTTAAAATATACACATCATTTCCTTTTCATCAAAAGATAGGTATATTTAAGACTTCTATTTTATTCACCAAAAATATTTGTATAGTATAACTACTAGTATCTACGATAGAAGGTAGTAAACAAATTGAAAATTAACTGAAATCTTAGTTACAGCCCCTTTTCATTGCTAATGCTTTGTCCTGACAAAATACTATTTTGGTTAAGTCACTGTTGTTCGTTAATATATATTTACGAATATGCTCGATGTTACATCCTTGAGTTACTAGTAGAGAAACAGTCTTGACTTGATCTTATCTGAACAGCCAAGAAGTGATAGAGAAATAATCTTGAAAATTTATTCTTGATGTTGAGATTTGTCACAAGGTTTCACTTCCAACTGGATAATGACATTATCCCACCTATAAGAATGTCTTCCTATAACAAACTGTAAAAATTCAATTATGAGATTAAAAATCTAATTTTAAAGATTTGAAAACAAAAGTGGTATATAATATTTAAATAATTATAGAACCATTATATGTTATAGCTACAAATAGTTGTAATACAACTCTTCGATATTTAAATTTTGATTTGACAATGTTTTGGGTTTTTTTTTTTTTTTTCCTTCCCGTACCAGGAATCGAACTCACATCCTTGTGCTTGCCAGGCAGGCGCTGTGCTGCTGAGCTAAGTCCCCAGCCCCTTGATTTGACAAGTTCATAAAAAAAACATTTACATGTATACTTAACATGTACAGAACACTTAATTTAAATAATTAAAGAGTTAAAAGTAGGTGGTTTGCGTTAATTAAAAAAGTGAAATAGTAAATCTAAATTATAGAACTTCCTTTGATTAGAAAATTTTCTGTGCAATAATTAAGATTCAAAGACATTTATCCAATGAATTAATTAAATTTATTGATTTCCATCCTACAGTTGCAACACAGTTTTAGTGAGATGTGTTAGAAATTAATTGCTATAGAATTTTGTTTGTACATGAGCTACCACTTTTTGCAAAATTTAATATGCCATGCATACTAAAATGTATTGTACTTTATTGATTTACTTTATCAGGAGAGCAGTAAGATATATATTCGTATATGATGAACATTCCTTATCATACTGCTAGAGAAAACTTCATTATAGTTATTTCTTTTGTGCTTTAGTTCTAGCAAAAGTGTCCTTTTTTTTTTTTTTTTTTTTTCTATTTCCATCCCGCATACTCCTCTAGGGATGGAAGATCCTAACGATGTTTGTAATATGTTATAAATTTTTAAATGACATTTGTTTATGTCTGATGTTATGTGTTAGATGCCCCTATTACAGTACTCTCACCAGGGAAAAGTTTAATGTTTTAATTTCAAGTAATAGTCTTCATAATTCTGTGCAGTTCTGACAGTTGAAAGGCCTGTAGTTTTAGCACATACTCCTTAACAAGGCATGGTGATGCATGCCTGTAATTCCAGTATTCAAGAGGTTGAGGCAGATGGGTCACCATGAATTTGAGGCTAGCCTGTACAGTGAAGTAAGATTCTGTCTCAAAAAGCAGACAAATAGAAATGTAAGCAGACTTCATGTTCATTAAATGTAGCTTATCAAACATTGGCTAATTCATAACAAGAATTATGACATTGCTGTGAAGCTTCTAGTCTTTAGTATTTCACTTGATATAAATGTATGAGATAGTTTGGCTATAGTTTGGTATAAAGCTATGCTGTATAAAGTAGTATTTTCACCTTTTCGTCTTAATTTTTCTTTTGAATAACAATTACAGATGAAATATGGACTGCATAGAGTAATCAGTAGCATTTTTGCATTGATTAGAAGCTTTCCTTACCAGAAAAAGATCTTAAAGAAACAATTTCTAGGAGCTGAGAAAAATGCACTGAAGAGTGAGCCATAATTCAACATGTGGAAGTAGAAAATATGCCATAAAATATCCTTGAGTAAAAAAGATAAACCAAACTATATGTGAAAGGTCATTAACACCAGGCAGATTCCTTAGGACAGGTTGAATATGCCTTCTCTGAGATGCTTGGAACCAGTTGTTTTCTTGATTTTAAACTTTGCAGACTTGGAAGTACTTGCACATACATTAGGACATGTTTTGGGGCTGGAACCTAAGTCTAAACATGAAATTCACTTTTACTTTATATACAGTGTATGCACATGTCCAGAAGTTAACTTTCTATATGGTATTTTTAGTTTGTACGTACATCCTGTCATGTGATGACGTACATCCTGTCATGTGATGTCAGTTGTGGAATTTTCTACTTGCAGCATCAAGTCAGTGCACAAAATATTTTGGATTTTGTAGCATTTCAGATGTTGGATTTTCAATTTAAGGGATGTATGCTAAACAGTAAAGTGCCTTTAAATTTAGTGAGTAAAGATTGATACCATAGTACAAAAATAGACATTGATAAACAATTTCATAAAAAATACATGTAAGCATATGAAACATGGCCAGATTCATTCATAATCTTTAAGTGCACATTAAAACGTACTGTCAGATGCCAGTTTTCACACTGACAGTTCTATACAGTATTATTGGGGAATGTGTATAATAACAATAAACAAAAAATAAATATTTAATGATAGTCTGCATGAATAAATTATATTTAAAATGGATTCAGACAAACTTCTGAGTATGAAGATTATGACTGTATTTTCTTTGAGACCAAGACTGAGGGATTTTGAGCTCTTAGTAGAAAAGGTCTTAATTTACATTTGTTTTTTTCTTTAAACATATAAGACAAGTTTAAAATGATGCAATTCATAATACATTTAGTAAAACAAGTCAATAAATAGTGCCTGAACATTTCCTGTATATCACCAAACCCCTGAGAATGCTGGGCATATAAAGTTGCAAGGGATACTGTCCCTACTCATTTCAAAAACCAGTTAAGTCATAATGATTTCTAAATAAACTCCACATAGTAAAAATTCTATTTGAGATAGGTCCAGCAAGGACTTACATTGCTTTGTAGGTTGTACTTTACATATTATAATCATCTTGTCCAAAAAAATCTTATGAAGTATAGCACTGAGTCCAGAGATAAATGAACACATTCATTGTATGTATTCGTTTAGCACTAACATCAACCCTAGGAAGTGGGTGCGATTGTCATCCCCATTTTATAGTTTATATGGAGAATGTAAGTTCTTGGGATGTTTAAGGATTGACTTACTAGTTCAGCTTAAACTATTTAATACTACGTATTCATCTCTGTTTTTCAAACGAAAGACCTAAGATTCAGAAGTTAGATAATTACTTCAAGACTGTATGGCTGGTGCTCTTGTACCACACTGCCTCAATAGAAACCCTCTGAGGAGAAGAAAAGAGAAAGAGCAATTTTGCTAGCACTCCTCATCCTGACAAGAACCAACTATGAGGGGCTGGGGAGATAGGTCAGTGGCACGACACCTGCCTGGCAAGCGCAACGTCCTGAGTTTGATTCCTGGTACCAAGAAAAAAACAAACAAACAAACAAAAAAACCAATCACACAATGTGTGCTTTCTCCAAGAAAATAATTGCAGTAGAAAGAATGTTCTTTTTATGAAAATATTTCCTTATTCATGTAGAACCAAATAATTTTGCTTATTGACTCTGATACAAGAAATTTTCAAGATCACTGGATAAAATCCAGTATTAATTTAAGGCTTGCTTCTGCTTTGTGAAAAGACTCTGTCAGCGACCCAGACTGAGAGCTGTGCTAAGAGAATTCCAGCTTTTCTGTGGGATGATCCAAAAACAGCAAAGAGAAGGCATTAAATTTCTTCACATTCGCAAGTGTGTACATGCACGTAATGCTGTTCTGTCATTAGCTACCTTTTGGTGTGCATAGAGCAGAGTTGGAATACTTTGATTGGCGGGCTAATGTACTCAGTGGAGAATTTTTTTTCATACAGAAAAAAGGCAGAGTCATTTAAGAGCATGTAAGGCCTTTGCACTTTGCCTCATATTTGTACAGCTCTTAACTATTTATGTTTAGTCTGATTTTAGGACATTTACCTTAACATTATGCTTTCATGTGTGAAAGACATTTGCTGGATTAAGTTGTTTCCCTTGCTCTGTTCAGAAGCAGGTTTACACAAGTACTCTGATCTGAAACAGAGAGTGTGAAGGAAATATAATGATCTTTAAGAGAAGGCACGGCTCAGTGGGTGAAGCAATATTTAAACTTGTGTCTTCATAAATAGATCTCACTCTTAGTAGCCTTAATGACAAACTCAGAAGTGAATACTGGAATTACTTAATGATCTGGTTAAGAAGTAAACAAGTGAGTTAAAGAAATGAAGCAGAAATAAAGGGTCAGTCTGTGTATGGAGCACATTCCTGAGCTGTCTTTATTTTCAGGCCAAAGCATCACTGAAATATCCTTGAGCACAGTCAGTGTCAACAGAGTCTTTGGTGATGGGCAGTGTTCTACTTAATGTCATTTGCATCCTTTCATAGAAGGGCAGTGGGTGGAACAGAAGTAGGTGAGACCACATATCATGTACTTAATATTTCTTCTTTTTTAATTACAGCAAATTCAGTAAAGCTAGAAATGCAAAGTGATGAAGAGTGTGACAGGAAACCCCTGAGCCGTGAAGATGAGATCAGGGGCCATGATGAGGGTAGCAGCCTAGAAGAGCCCCTAATTGAGAGCAGCGAGGTGGCCGACAACAGGAAAGTCCAGGAGCTTCAAGGCGAGGGAGGAATCCGGCTTCCGAATGGTAAACTGAAATGTGACGTCTGTGGCATGGTTTGCATTGGGCCCAATGTGCTTATGGTACATAAAAGGAGTCACACTGGTAAGCAGCTGCAAGCATAACTGATGACTGCCTGTGACATCTGATGTTGATATTACCTGACATCTATTCTCTTTCCTTTTTATTCAGGGGTGACAGTGGTGAAACTACCTTTTCAGAATTCTGCTAGTATTGGATTGCTGGAAAGCAGAGAGTAGCCTGGGTCTTGACTTCCAGCCTTCAGATCTGAATAGCATATCAGAAAAGAAGTTTGGGATTCAGTTTCCACAGTTCTTAATATAGCAATAATATGATAAGGGTTCAAAAGGTATAGGAGAATTTCATTGGGTAACTTAATCTTTTTGTATTTCTATACATATTTTACCATACCCATGGGCAGGTAATAGAGTTTGCTAGCTAAGATTTTATACTACAAAGTGGCACTCACACATTTATATAGGGGTGAATCATTTTCACTTTATCTAGTTAACTTCTTGAAATTGGATTTATAGTCAGTCTTTGCCTACCACAGACCTTGGCAGTAGGCAGATACTTTAACTAGTTCAAGAATATTACCATCTTCCTGTGATTTTTGGTTTTGACTCCTGCTAGGAGCTGTGTGGGGGCAGATCTGACAGGCAGTGATAGATATGCAGGTAAAAGTGTGTAACCATGGAATTGTCCTTCCAAATGAGAAGGCCTTATTAAATCTTTTCAAATCTTTGCCAAAATTTAAAAAGAGACCAAAATGAGATTATGGTAAGAAAAGAAGATAGTTGACTTTTCAAAGTTTCATGTTTATATAAAAATTGTTTTGAAGGTAATGTAGCTTTCACTATAATGCATAGCATTATTCTACAGCAAAATGTTAATAACAGTCATAGTACTTTAATATGTGTTAATCTTTGGAAGAGTGATAAATCACTCTGATGAACTTTATTTGCAGTTTTAAATCTAAGTAATTTTATTATTGGAGACCTTTCAACATGAGATGTAAGTTGGGCATGGTGCTATGTGCCTGTAATCCCAGCACTTGGGAGGCTGAGGCAGGAGGATCACCATGAATTCAAGGCCAGCATGAAGTACATAGTGAGACTCTGTCTCAAAACAAAAAAAGAGATGTATAAGTTACATCAAAATATTTATAGTTCATACTTCTCAAATCACACATGAAGAAACAGTCAAGTGATTTGTAGGTAGGGACATGGCTGAGGCTAGAACCAAGATATCCTGATTTCTAGACCAGTTTTGTTTGAATATACCATGCTTGATATATTAATATACCCATAGTTTATTATGAAGTATGACAATAAGACTGATGCTTTTTAAATTATCATGAGAAATGACACCTTAAAATCATTGTCACCATACTCATTAGCTTTACTTACATAATTTTTATTTACTTTTTCCAGCCAACAGCCAGTTATATTTTTGCTTCTGTTTTAAATTTCCTTTTTAAACACCACAATGCTTTTAAAATATTTGTATTACTAATACAAAGTTGTCTTCTTTAGCTTTCTAAAATGTCTTAGGAAAAGATGAAAGATCAAGCCTGATACCTATTTGATAAGAAAAAAGAATAAAGATTACAAAATAATTAATCTACTTTTTATCTGAGGTCATGAAACGATTCATAAAATGAGTTCCACAAAGTTACAATATATTCGCTATGTCAGAGTGAGAATATTGAGGAAGATAGCACTCATTCAAATGTCAAACTTCTCCCATTTAATAAAAGCCAAACTGAGACTCCGTCTCAGGACTTTGCAGTTGAATGACATATAGCATTAATTTTAAGGCTAAAGTTTATACTAACAACTATTTTTGGAAGATGTTTTAGTAAATGTTTTAAGTTCTTAGTTAAGAAAATTGAAAGAACTACAGTATACTTTCTTGAAAATTTAAAAATATTGACTGTATTTGTAGTAATATCCATAAAGATTATTTATAAATAAAATATTACATACCTGCTCTAATGTCCATTTTATATTTATTACTGTAGTGCAGTCAACTTATTTTAAAACCAAAAAGTATACAATTGGCATGGAAATGCTTATCTACAGTTGTGCAGATTTCCATAAGTGAGTCCTGGGAATATGAGATGCAACTAGTAAAGGCAAGGAAAATGGGCTAGATAACCATTTAAAGTACCACTGCAGTACTTTGGTAAATGCTTATTGGAGCACTGGAAACATTATTATACTTCCTTATGATCCAGGAGGTTTTTGTTAATGTTAAAAGCCAGCTATTCATGAAGGACCTTGGGATACCCACCAAGCTTTGTTAACTAAAATTTTGAATGTAATAATATCTTAAATCATGTGTTTCTGATGACCCAGTTTATACACTGGAGTGGGTCCTGACATTTCAAACCCTTTTATTACTAGTTGAGAATAGAACGTCTATGTGTGTTTTAACTTGATTGAGAAAGGTATAATCAGAATCTAGTCACTAACAAAGTATTCTGCCCATACCATTTACTATAGTCTTCATTTGACAAGTTTCCACTCTTAATTATTTATAGCTATCGTAAAAGCCACTATCTTCCATCTGTAAACAGCCTTGGAGAAACATTTTTGAATATCTTAACTGAGGTGCACAACTGCTTAGTTATTATAGTGACATGGAGTATCAGATCTAGTTCACTTCTTCTTTCTCTTTCACCCTCTACTAAAATGCCAATTTCAATACCTTATTCGTGGTTTGATGTTACTTCTCTGGCAGTGCTTCTTTAGTAAGTAATCAGGTAATATTGTCATCCGATACTCCAGGCACTCTTCTTTGGGAGTATGGGGAGAAGAAAACAAGTAGGAGTATTAATTCATATGAGCATGAATCTGCAGGAGCATTATAAATTCACAAGATCCTTAATTTTGCCTCCCTTTGGGACAGATTACTCCTATCTTTGTAACTAGTTTTCAACATTCTATTTTGTGCATTGCAGCATTATAGAACCATTTTCTTGTTCCAAGATGCTGTTGTCAGGTGCTTATTGTTATGTGTTTGTAGGTAACACAAGAATACCCTCTCTTTGATTCACCAGAGCAAATTGATGCATGTATATTTGTATTTCAGTTGAGTATTTAAATTCGAATTTAAAAGTATGCAGCTACTGAAGTACCTAAACTACTGAAATACAATTATTGCATAATACAGTCGCCTGTAAATTCATCACATGGATAACTAAAAATGGACAAATAGATGAGCAGACTGAATCTTAGAAACAAAACAGATTGAGGATGGACATGAAGGATGCCATGACATCTTAATTGTTCCCTGGATCCACCATTGTTACCCCAGGCTTTTGTGACCACTAATGGAAAGATTCATCAAGCAACCTACTTAAATCTTTTCAGTTGGATTGCTGTCTAATATCTTTAATGTGATATTGAATTATTCAGGGTTTTCTTAAGATTTTCATGGATTTACATACAAAAAAAGATTCATTTTTTCAGAGTCTGAAGTGACTCAAAAAAGGCCAATTGATTAGGTTCATTTAGTCTAAAGAACAAATTTTCAGAAAAAAATAAGTGAGATGTGTTAGGTGAAGTTCTACAGGTAATATTTTTTTACATATGTACCTTTTGTTTTGACAAAAGGAAGTTAACAAACTTTTTACTTCATTACCAAGTAAATACACATATGTCTTTGTAAGGCCTGGGCCAGGAAACATCCCACAACATTTAATAAAAGGATTGCAAATGTTTTACAGATGGTTTTTCCAAAAAGTGATTTAATGCACTTATTTACTATTATTAAACAGACTATATATGGTGCCTATGTTTGGAGTACTCCTGAAATATGACTAAATATACTTAAAATATCATTTATCTTATGCTTTCATTCTTATTTCCTATAGTAGTATAATTGAGGATTCACCATAATTTCAATTAACTTCAGTGTTGAAGACAATAAAACTTTATTATTGAAATGATAATAGGGGCTGGGGATTTAGCTCAGCGGCAAAAGCGCCTGCCTGGCAAGCGCAAGGTCGTGAGTTCGGTTCCCGGTACCGGAGAAAAACCAAAAAAAAAAATGAAATGATAATATCATTTCATATAGTCAAGATATTAAGAATAGTTAAGTAGATTTCAACCTAAAAATGAGGAAACCCATAAAATTGATATCCAAAAGTAAAAAGCACCAAGAAGACTTGTTCATAATTCACATCAGCATTTCTCAGTGTATTGGGTTGAAATCAAAGTGTGTTATTGTCAGTACCTTTTCTCATATCAAAAAAAGTTGCTTCCAGCTGGGCAGGGTGGCACACCCCTGTAATCCCAGAGCTCTGGGAGGCTGAAGCGAGAGAATTGCAAGCACAAGCCTAGCCTGAGCAACTTTGTGAGAACCTGCCTCAAAATAAACATTTTTTAAAGGCCTGGGAATGTAATTCAGTGTGAAAGCCCCAGTTCAATCTCCATTATGTACCAAAAATTTTTTAAAAGTTATCTTGGTCACGCCTTATCCTTTACATTTCGTGGCATTGGGAATTTACTAGAGGCCCCCCACCATAGCATTACAAGATGTACCTAGACTCCCTTTCATTTTTCCTATCCTTTTTGAAGATGATTATATAAATTCAGAAGTAGTTGCTTAATAAAAAAATGAAGCTGTCTGTAGTAGTTTATAGTGTCAAAGCTAATCTGTCATTATTCCCATTAAATTCAGTTAATTGAAATTTAAAATTATTTTTAGAAACTGTTTGCCCTTATTTTCTTAGCTTATTAATTTAAATAATGAATTAACTATTCTAAATATTAGATATTTTTAAATCAGTTCAAATGTTATAGATGGTGGAAAAGGAAAATCTAAGTCAGCATGCTACTATAGTATTTTTCAAAGGAAAATACATTTTTTTGCTCAGTATCCTTACTAGTGTAATTCTTTTTAAAAATTTTTGCATGTACCAACTTCTGATCAGGAATGCAATCATTATATACTGCAAACATGTACTGATAAATTTTTTAAAAATTTAGAGTTACTTCATACCAGTTTATTATTTGCCTGGGAAACCTTATATAGAAGGATTCTAATTCATTGCAAGTCAAGTATTTGAAATGAAAAGTGTAACTTACATTTGCTATTTTCCCCTTTTTAAAAAAGTTTGTTTGTGAAAGAAGTACCTCCCTCATTTGTTACTATTTCGACAGTGGGGTTGGAAAGTAGATATTTATGACTTTTAAAAGTTGTGCTCTGCTGTTTCGTGGAAGGAAAACACCATCAAACATTCGAGTGAAGTTGCACATGTGCATTTTTCAGAAGACAGTTCTTTAAAAATTAGTTTTTATAACTTCATATGACAGGTTTTAGATTTTTACCAAGTCAATCAAACTAGTTAAATAAGATTCAATTTAAGGGAGCTTTAACATCTTGAATACTTTCTCAACACATTATATATTATAGGGTGGGTCTATTGTAAATTTAGTTCTTAGAGTTCTAGATTTTTTAAGAAAAAACCTTCACCACACAGACTATGCTTTTTTGATGGTGTTCCTTGTTAACTTCCTAAAAGAGCAAGTAGAAAAGAATTCAAGATGCACCTGATCTATCAATTTAATTTCTTTAGGCACTGTAACAGAGCTATCTGATAGAATCTGTACTGACTCCCTCATTTCTTTATAAAAGAATCACTAGGTTTGTATATATTGGGTCAAACACTATAGAGAGAGATTTTATTATTCACTATTGTGATGAACATTTCATTTAACATGTGGAACATGAGAATTCAATGTGAACTTTTTGAAAAAATAAATTTGTAACCATCATCTGATTTTAAGTACGGAAATAGTTTAGTTCCACTTGAACTACTTTTTAAAATTTATTTTTATTCTAAATTTTGAGCTTTAGTACTTTTACTATGTATTGATATATTAATTTATAATTTACTTCATGTCTTTAGAGATAGGCAAATTTACAGTAACCTTATTTTTTTCATGGTTTGCTAATGTTACTAGTTTGATCCCATCTTTCTACTTCATTACCTATTTTTTTTATGTTTGATGACATTGGTGAGAGCCAACGTGTGGCAATAAACTGGCATTTCAGACTGAATCAGTTTTAGAGTAATGTCAATAATAGGAGAAAAATGAGAAAAGATTCCTGTCAGACATTTTCATAAAATGTGATTTTGTGATTTTCATAAAATAATAAGAATATACAAGACATGTCTGGATGAGTAATTATCTTTGGATTTTTCTTTAGTTATCAGGAAATTTGGCCAAAGGTTTCACTATTAGTGACCAGGATAATCAAGGGACTTGGGCTGTACTGGAGATCTTGTGGTAATGAGCTTTGTAAACTGGCTCGTTCTTTATCCCTTTCTTTGGCTCCTTTTCTGCTAAAAGAGGGAGTTAGACTACCAGTCTCTTCCAGTTCAAAATTTGGGGGTTTTAAAGAAGTACCATGGTAAAATTCGTAGAAAAAGATTTTGTATTCAAACTGAGCAGGTTCAATTCTAACTTTGTGACTGCAATTAGATACTCTGAATGTGAACTTCAATTTCACTTGTAGATTGAAATTAATAATACCTAATTATTAATGCAATTGTGAGGATTGAAACATTGTATATAAAGCAACTAGTAAGGCAGTTAAAGTAATGGCATCTAGTTGCCAACCACTGGTAAATGCTATTATTGGTCGTGTTCTAAGCCAATAACAGGAATCTTGTCAAATTTATATGGAGAGAGGAAATGACTAGTTGACCAAAGCTCAAGACTTGTTTATTAGCAAAACCAATTCAAGGGAGAGGTATTTAGAAGATTTGTGAGGAGATGAACGTCAAAAACAAGAGACTTGGCTGTGGTGAAGAGTGGATTATAGGTCAGTCCTTTGCACTTAACCTACTTGGTCTTTCCATTTCTCCTTCCTACAGGGGAACGCCCCTTTCACTGTAACCAGTGTGGAGCTTCTTTTACTCAAAAGGGTAACCTTCTGAGACACATAAAGTTACACTCTGGAGAGAAGCCCTTCAAATGTCCTTTCTGTAGCTACGCTTGTAGACGAAGGGACGCCCTCACAGGACACCTCAGGACCCACTCGGGTAAGTGTCACCAAGCCTTTGAAAAGAAAGCTGAAGTTGAGAATTCAAGAGTGTGCTACAAGATAATACTGAGTAACATATGGTAGTGGTGTACACAGCATTGTCACTTGTGTATGTCAACTGACAGCTCTTGTGAGATGCATGTGGCCCTCCCTTTTTTCGATGTGTGTAGAATTGGCCAAAGGAGCACAGTAAACTGAACAGTCTCTTAAGGATATGGGAGTAAGGAAAGCAGCTGTTATATAAATGTTACAATTTAACTTTATAATTATTAATGTAGGAATATGGTTAACTCAGGATAATTGAAGACCTAGTGAAATATAACAGTTACACCCTGAAGTCACTATAGAAGAGATGAAAGTTGTGCGGTTTCTTTGGTTGTTGGTTGGTTTTGGTTTTGGTGACTGGTAACAGTCCTCAGGCTGGGATCTCACTGGGAAACCATAGTTTTGTTTTTTAAACTTTGGAACATTATATTTGTTAGAAAATGGGCCTTTAGAGTAATTCATGTTTTTGTTTTAACTCTCCTTGTCTATATAGCTCTCAAACCATAGTCACTGAAGGCTATATGAATCTTTTGGCACTTTACAAATTTAAAAATCTTGAGTTTTTTTATAAAATGCCAGAATATTAGTACATAAAAGAAAAAGAAATCATAAATCTCTCATTTGACTATTAGCATGAATTTGAACATAGAAAATTAATATGAAGTACTCTGAAGCCAATTTTATGTGCTCCTTCTCTCTGTAGTGACATATTAAACTTTAATATTAATAGGAAAATATAAGGGAAATGATATTTTCATCTACATTGACAAATTGTATTAGAAAATTGAGAGGTAATGCTTGTATTATCTTTATATTTTTCCTGTTATCTTTAAGACTCTACTTAATTTTTAACATGAATATGAATTATGTAAAGCTACTTTAAACATTAATTCTTAAATTTACAACAGCTATAGAAGTGAAATTAATGCAACCATTCAAAATATTTTAAGTATATATTTTACTTTTTTCCCTGATACAAAAGTAATTCACTTATTTTCATTTTAAAATTATACTGAATATTTTCTCAAAATGGTATTTTTTCAAAATTGTATTTTGAAACTTATTCTTTCTTTAGCAAGCCATGTGCTTTAGTTTATTAAAGTATTACTGAATTGCCTGAGGATTATATAGTACATAAATTTTCTTTAACATATTATTGCCTCAACTTTGTGCAATAGATAAGTTTAAATATCTACTTTAGTTTTTACAAAATTGTGCTGCTTTTAACATTGTAGTTATTGTACATATCCTATTTCATGGTGCTTATAACTGAAATTGTGCTAATTTTGTAACTTATTATGTGCTAAATCATATTTCTGCAGAAATATAAACCGCATACTCAAATTAGGTGATTAATAACAGTTTAATGGGGTGACTGCTAGGGAAAAGGTCATCTGTGTCATCATCCAGGAGTGATATCAATTCATTTGTACTTCCATCTGGGTTGTGAAATATTAATCATCACCAGTGTGCTTCATACTTACTAGAACATAAGACATAGGTACTAAAGCCCATGACTTTATGATTGGTCAGAGCTTAAAAACGATCATTATAGCTTTTGCTTTCCATTCACTTGCATCTTCCTGTGACTCTGTCTAATACCTGGACTAGACCAGATTTATTATCTGATGGGTAACCCTAACTTTAATTCCTGCAAATTCTGAGTCTTTAGTGGTGTCTTTGTTTATTGTAGTTTTTTCAGTAACCAGAATTACTGGATAAGGATTTTGTTTTGTTTCTTAAAGAGATGGCCAGTGATCCCACTGAGCTCCTAACCTAATTCTCCTTTACCTCATTGTATGACAACCTAAAATCAATTCAGTAACCTTCAAACATTAACAAAGGTAGCCACATTCTCTCCCTGTGAGTTCAGCATCTTGAGATACCCAAAATATCCAACAAGTATTCTCTGCTTCCAATCCAACAATACTGGAACCTTGAACCCTGGCAGAAGCATGCTTTAATTGGGGACTGAGATACTCAGAAGTCCCAGAGTTTCAGGACAGAGAGTAAAATGTCCTTTAGAAAGGTCATTCAAAGTATTCCAGTGGCCACGTCTACCTTAACCTCTTTGTTCTCAGACTCATACAGTCTGGCTGTTAAGCCCTTCATTGGGTCACTTCATCTTTCCATTTAAGCAGCTGATGCTAGATGATGGAGCATGATGTATGACAGGCAAATTCTATAGCACTGAGCCCATTGTATTTTCTTGCCATTAAAATGGATTTCCTGACTGAAGGTGATATTAAAGGTAGTAACACTGTGATGGGTAAAACAATCCATTGAATCCACACATGAAGGAGATTGCAGAGTGTGGAAGGGCAAGGAAGGACAAACCTGTATCCTAAATACCTATCACTTCCATAGGATTATTTTTTATCTCCTCCATGATGGAAGAAATCCAATGCCAACTTCCTGCCACCACTTGATGAGCTTATGTCGCTGGGGAATAATGCCTTACCAGAGGTTTGGCACTGGAAAATCGAGAGCTCAGTGGTGGTAGAGTTAATTCACTTACAGAGGTGGATGTCCATGTGGCAGATACATACAGTTTCCACTTCACCCCTTGGTACATGAGCCCGTTGAGAAGGTACTAAGAGTACTAATGTAAACATTTTGACTGCTATCATAAGATAGGTTACTTTCTCCAGATTGCTAAAGGCTTTGTCCACAAGAGTATATAGTATAGGACACCATGCAGTCACATTTTGTGCCAATTCTGAGAGATACATCCACATGCCCCATAATCAAGAAGTAGTCATTTTGGTATTGTTCATTTGATTTAGTACAAAGATCAAATTTTGGAATAGGTCTTTGACCTTCTTTCCTTCTTACCTCTGAAGCTCAGGTAAAGAAAGGATTTTTAAACTGACAGAATCTTTCTGAAATTTCACCTGTGTTCTGTCTTGAGAATTTGAGGCCATTAATTTGTCTTTTCATTTTTGTGTGTCCCCTCTGAGCCCTTTAAACCAACCTTGTCACACCAGAAGCTTCATAGTGTGCTTGCTGCTTTAGCATGTAAATGCTGTTGCTTCCGGAACCTTAGCCTGTGTCACGCTTCCGTCCGCACCACCAACAGTGACGTGAGAGTAATCCTCTTGATGGCACGTAACTGGGCTTACCAGTATCCCATTAGCACCCTGGTAAGGAGAGTAAGGAGGCTATTCCACTCTTCACATGTGAGCAACCTAATCCAAGAATTTCATTTTGACTGTCTGGAGCCTTGGGGCATTCGTGCCACCAATAATTCTTAGTAGGATCCTGACAGTAAAGCAATGCGACACTCAGATAGGGAAAATTTGGGAACACCCATGAAGGGACAGATATCCACAAGAGAATGGTTAGGCATGAGGGAAACCCACAAAGGAGGGTTGAGTACTCTGAGGCCAACAATAGCAGAAAGCCATTACCAGACTTAGGCTCAAGGGGAAAAGGGACCAAGTGGTCACTGGGATTGAGAGAGATAGGAGATGTCTTGATCACTGACCTTCAGTAGAGCAGTATAGCCTTTGCTGACACATGACTTGGACCCTACATACTACGCTCTTTCTGCTAGCTCCTTGCCTTGACTAACCTTAACCAGATGCCAGAACACAAGGCAGCCCATCGAACATGCCAAAAGAATTGAGCTTTCTACAGGAATAGAGCTTTCTTCAGGAACAGAAGGGCAGAAAATGCCTATGGAAGCCAAATAGACAATTGCCTCAGATTAACTAAAATGTAAGAACTAGTGTTTATAATTAGTAGTACAGGGTAATAAACATAATGAAATTATTTTAAATCTAATTTCTGTTTCTATGAATATTGATAGAATGCATTTTGTTTCCCCTTTACCTCTGGGTAATGACTATTCGTTGTATTTAGTTTTGATTTTGTATATTAATATCACATTTCTGCTTTCTGTATTATAGACTTAAAATGAAAAACACTTGGAAAAATGTTAAGAATATACTATATATTCAGTATATAAAATATATATATAAATTATATAATTATATATAAATTCAGTGCATAATCCATGCTGTGTATATATATTTTTTTCATTTTTTTTTTTTTTTTTTTGAGACAGGGTCTTGTTATATAGTTCAGGCTGGCCCTACTGAACTTATGATGTAGCTCAGGGTGGCCTCAAACTCACAGTGATATATATATGTGTATATTTATATTTGAGATTCCACTTGTGTTCCCTAGAGGACTTGAGGTAGTGTCTTGGCTTTGCTTGTACAGACCCAGTAGTTAGGTTACTTATAGATAATATCTGGCATTCTTAAGATCTCTCTAGGCAGTAGTAAGTATATAAGGCACTTTCCATGGATTATTTAATTAAATCCCTTTTATCTGACATAAGCGAATGGAGGTAGTTTGTAGATTAATAGCACTAAGTCTAGTAACAGGAAAAATGCTTTAATATAAAAGTTCTTAACATTAAAATTTATAAGTATAATGTATTCGTCAGCTTTCCTGTTGCTAAGACAAAACATCCAGCATCCATGACTTTAAGGAGGGTTAAATTTGGCACATGTTTCAAAGGATTCAGTCCATACTTGGCTGGGTCCAAAATAGACAGCATAGTAGCAGAGCATGGTGGGCTGAAAGCTACTCAGCCCATGGCAACCGAGAGCACAGAGTGAAGGGAGGAGCTGGGCAGGGAGCTGTACCCTGGGCAGGCACAGCCTCCGTGACACACCTCTTCCAACCAGGCCCCAACTTCCAGGAGCATGTTTAGCTATGTGTCCCTCAATTGGTCATGGACCAGTCTACCGATAAGTATCCCACCCACCTCCACGATCCTGTCACCTTCCGAAGCCCCACCTCTAAACACAGGAGACCTTGGGGGAACATCCTGGATCTAACCCGTAACATTCTGTCTCTGGCCCCGAAAAGGCTTATGTCTATCTCATTATTCAGGATGTATTTACTCCATCTCTGAGAGTCATCAGAGTGCACAATTTC